TTTTATCTTAAAAGGAACACCAACTTTCTGCAATAAATAGGGTTTTTATGTGCCGTTTCCTTTTTATCATGTCATATCTTCATCTCGTTTCCTCCTTTTGAGGATAATAACTACAACTTAGCTAGATTCCATGATTCTCTCAGATCTTATTCTAGCCCCTTTGTTTATCTTTAAGCTCTCATGGTGATTGTAACAAAGTTGTGTAGGCACATGCTGATTGACGACTGAAATAAGCTCTCAAGAAAGAGCTTGTTGGAATCATTTTTATGCTTTTGAGTAAGTGCTTGATAAAGCGAAATATTATAATGTTTAACATGATGAACGAAGGTATGTTTTATGCATGCAGTTCGTTGAAGGACTTCCGATCCAAAGCGATGGATGAAGGGTCGTGCTAATATGGACACAGAGCTGGGGAGCAAAGCAGGGAAGGGCAGGGATGGGGATCAAATTCCTTGTCCCTGCCGAGCCGCTGCCCCTTACAGAGCAAGGCATGGTTCCATTACCAGTCCATTTGAAGCAAAGGCGGTGCCCCGCAGTACACTGCCCGGCGCCAGATAACAAGCACTCTTGTGAAGAGAAATCTTAATTCTTTTCCTGTATAAATGTACATCCACATAAAAAGCTTAAAAGATGAGTATAGAAATGAACTGAGAAGGTCAAGTTACAAATCTGAAAAGAAAAAGACCTTTCCAAAAAGTTAGGTCCTTGAGTGGAGAAGGTTGAACATCTATGTAGTTAATCACACAACAAATATATAAATTTCATGACTCATTTACATGCACATAAGAATGTGGAAAAAGAAAAAACTTCTCACCTTTTGCATTAATTGCACTTTGCATTCTCCATTCATGGAATCACTAGTTCACATCTTGAGTGTCGGCCTTAGATATAAATTTGCACCTAAAACTAGTTACCATGGCAAAACGGGTTCCTTTCAGATGCGAGACTTCATGATACTCAACTTTTAAGAAACGTGTAAGTGATGTTTGTTTATAATTTCTTCTCTATTATTATGCTAAGAATAATGTCATACTTTTGGGTAAAGGTGCGGATGCTGCGTAATTCTTTCGCCTTTTCATTAACAACGCTGTCATGTCAAAATTGGAGCAACTTTTTCTGCAACCAGCCTTTGGAGCCTGCTCTCTCTCTCTCTCTCTCTCTCTCTCTCTCAACTTTCATCGTTTGTTAATCCATTCAACAATAAGTGGATGTGGGACTTGAGTCATGTAATTTCGCAGATAAAGAACAGTTTCTGGATGAAAACTTTTGCCAGTACTTGTAAATGGTTCGCTTGCCGTATTGAATCCTGGCCTTCTCTACAGACAATACCTTAAGAATGTTGATCTTACATTTGGGATTTTGTTTTCAGATCGCTAATCAGGTTATATAACTTAGAAGGTGTCCTATTAAAGCTACATCATTATCTTGCAACTAAAACCCATCATCTTAAATTATTACTCAGGCTGTGATCAGCCATTAGTTCACTTTTTTATGGATACGATTCGCGTCAACATGAGATAACTCTGTGAAAAGATTAAGCTGCATTCCGTTTAGCATTGTATCAAGATATGACAAAGTGTCCACACCGGATCCTGCCTGGGCATCTTGAATATTGCTTCAATCGATATTGCTTGATTAAAAAGAATAATTGCCTTCAATCATAGATGGCCACATCACAGAGCAAAGAGGCATCGAATGAGAAGCCCTTTTGAGTAGATAATGCCATATTTTGCTTTTCTAATGCTACTTTAAGGAAAGGGTGCTATAAAAGCAAAAGATGTGAAGACTTTGATGCAGTCTCTTCTTGGTGAAACTTATAAAGGGGTTTGATCATGCATAAAGAACACAACGGATTGAAATATTAATTAAATTTCTTTTTAAAAGAAGGCTCTCCAATTTGTGAAATAGTGTCATATCCATTATAGTTTTGCTTTATTCTTAGCTGGGTGCTAGGGTTATATGCATATATCATGTTATAGTACTGCTGTACTGTAGCCCTCTAATTTCATTCAAACATCTCCACCTCAAGCACTAAAGAGTTGCTTTTGTTTAAACAATTTCACGACTTTATATATCTCTTTAGGCAAGCAAAAAGAAGCTGAAGCTTTTTCACTGAAGACTGCAATTTCTTACTGACTAAGCCGACGAAAAGATACGAGGGCATCTGTTTTCTTTGTCTACAGGAGCTGGGTCTGTATGATGGTATATTGGACCAAATACACCACTTCTTTTTAAAAAAGTTGCAACATAATTTTTATGGATACAATAAAGTGCATCCCACGTTCCCTGAATATGGAATGCAATGAATGTTTTCGTTTTATAATCTCCCTCTGCTTAAAAATTTGAACTTTTACACAGCAGACTTTTTAACTTGGTATTATAGGCTAATATTGCATCCTTAGTGCCCCATTAATCAACCCTTTCACACATTGATTTTTCATTTATAGAGATTTTTATTGTTTAACGTAGACTTTGAAACCTCGAATTATTTTCTTTTTAAAATTTTCAACATGGATTCTTTTAACCCCGAGAATTCTTTTAATTAGATCTGATCATCTTTAGCATTATACTATATATATTGACTTTTCATTTTCAACATGGTTTTTATTTTTGTGTTCTTATGCCTTTGCTTGGATAAATAATGGTAGGTATACCAAAATCTTGCACCCACTCGTAGGATATATAACTGAGTTTTGATAGGATAGAAGATAAATGAATTCTCCGATATCAAGTAAATTAATTCAACTCAAAAAGCTCAAGAAGTAAGATGCATTATCTTTTTAAACCATACTAATAATCAGTGCGTGGGATACTTAAGAGGTATATTATATAGTTGTTTGCGCTTGCCTTTTATATTTAAAGAAAAGAAATGCTTCATGCTCTCCACGAAGTTAGAAACTAAAATCATAGATAAGTTAATCATTTTTAATTACGAGATAATCGTTCACTTTACTAAAGCATTAGCCTTACCAAAGCATTCGTCTTAGTTGCGGCCCTGACGCAGCAACCCTTGAGACATCTCTTTTTCTTCTCCAAGAACCTAGTTGTTGTGTTGCATGTCTTATTATTACCCAAACAAAAACCTCATACTAATGTTCAAGAAGTATATTAGAACATGGATGGAGATTCTCTACAATTAGGAGAAGCTTTGTCCAAATGACATTAGAGAAATTCAAACAAAACAATCCCCCCCCAAATTCCACCCGTCCTCTGCCTTTTGCACACCGTCTTTGTCGCCTATAGCCATCGCCCAGTTTCTCTTTGTTCGCTTGCTCCGTTTCTCCGCCCTCTCTCTCTCTCTCTTCCTGTTTGCCCCTCCTCATGCCTTCCCGCTTAACCGCCGTCGTTAGTCGTCACCCCCTTTACCTCCTTGTTGCCGCCATACAATCCTCCCTCTGTGCTTTTAAGGCGACCACCAAGCGAATCTCTTGCAAATCGGATAAAATATTGGATGCACTTGATATGTATGGGAAGATATGGTGAATAGAGTCAATTACAAGAAGGAAACCGCATAGGCACTTTAATTTTTTATAGGATCCCGTGTGGATCGCGAATTCAAAAAACATGATTGGTTTGATATAATAGACATGCGATTATGCTTGCTTTTCGTAATAGAATCGCTTAATACAACTTTTAAAGTAGGCCAAACAGTCATTGGGCTGCTATTACCACGCCTAGCCAGTGACAAAAATTCTTGGGAAGAAGTCAGTAAAGTGTGCTCCAATTAACTAATCTCTCGTGTAACCCTAATCACACTATTATAGCTGCCTTTCATGGTGGACAGACATAGGAATGTACAAAAGCGAAGGAAAATGATTGAGGAATGAGAGGGAGATCCCTTGTCGGTCGTGTAAGAATATGTGTTCAACTATAGGGTATCATGCATTGCATGGTATCTGATATGGCAATTCCAAAACCTCGAGCTAAGGAGTCTCTCCTTTTCATGCAAAAGTCGCACGATCGTGAATGCTAGCACGGGGTCCATTGACCAAGTTAATTTTCAGGATAATATGATAAATTTTATTGAACACTTAAATATGACCTATTTATCTATATATGTGATCAATTGTATGGATCATGTTATGCTAAAAATCTCCTTTGAACTAGCTATTCGTCGATTATATATATCCGAAAAATCAATATAGCAAAACATGTTCTAGTGTGACTAAATATGTTCGTTCAGATATGATCGAAATAGTATTAAGAGATTTATATGCCAAGATACACGTATTAATCCTGTAGGATTTTGCATACTCTCTCATGTTAGATTTGGATCTGTAGTCTCCCATGTCCAGTCTCCATATATGATCCTGTTCGTGCTTCGACATGGATGAAAAATCAATCCCACCTCAACAAACCCCCATCTCTCTACCTTGCTCTATCTACTACCACCTCACAGCTCAGCCTTGTCGCCGCTGCCCCCACCACACCTGACGACAGACTCTCTCGCTCTCTCTCGCGCCCGCGTCCATGCCAGGCTTCAGATGTTGGAAGGCGCCATGTCGGAGCTCCATCTCATTGCTGTCAACGCCTTGATTGTCCATAGGGACAAGCCTCCATTATGTTTGGAGGCGCAAAGGCTCCTCCATCGCCCTCGAGGTTTGATGTCTCGACCATGGATTGGATGAGCCGCTGAGAGTTACGAGTATAATAGATATGCGTCTTAATCTGATGTACGAAATAGCAAACCCACATCCTCCCTCTTAATTGTGTAGGGTTCACATCCTGGGTTCACAATTTAGTTCAAGAGAGAGAGAGGGGGGAGGGAGGGGCAACGGAGAAGCAAGTATTGGGTGCATCCGGATAATGTAAGCCCAGCGCAATCCACCGTTAGATCAGGTGGATCCCATATTGGTCCCGCCTCATTTGATGGAATATATGAATTGGGCTCACACGGACCGGGCGCACCTAAGTTTTGTCACAAAGGGGAGTTGCCTTTGGTACTGTACTGGTGCATCCTTCCTGGTTGTCAGCACATGCAATCCACTTTCCACTGTAAAATCCACTTTGGACCAAAATTTAACCTCAGCTTCAAGAAAAGCATAGCCCACCCCCACCCCACCTCCCTCAAGTTTCTCAAAGAGATAAAAACCAAATCGCTTTCTCTCTAGCCTATATCACGAGCTCTCTCAAACTGCATACACCAACACAGCATCAAATAAGATTTAGTTCACAAACACTACACTCCTCTCTCCGGCGCCTCTTCTAGAAATCTAGATATTCCTCTCTCCAAAAATGTTTCTTCTCCATCCCATCAAAACAGATGAATGGCAGTCCCATCCATTCCTCTTTGTCTTAATATCAATACCCGCCCATGAAACTTAAACCTATGCAAGTGCCTTAACCACTCACAAAACCCAACTCAATAGCCCTTTTCTTTGCTGAAGTACTTCCGCAGCTTCTCCTAATTCGCTGAAGATGAGAGCAGGAGGAGGCTGCACAGTCCAACATGCCCTGACAGCCGAAGCAGCAACCGTAATAAAGCAGGCTGTAACCCTAGCAAAGCGTCGCGGCCACTCTCAAGTCACACCTCTCCATGTGGCCAACACCATGCTCACTTCGTCCACTGGCCTTCTGAGAACAGCTTGTCTTCAATCTCACTCCCACCCTCTGCAGTGTAAGGCTCTAGAGCTCTGCTTCAACGTTGCGCTCAACCGCCTCCCGGCTGCCGCTCCGAGCCACGTCCTGGGGACTCACTTACAAAACCCGTCCATCTCCAACGCCCTCGTCGCTGCCTTCAAGCGGGCCCAGGCACACCAACGACGCGGCTCGATTGAGAACCAGCAGCAGCCTATCCTGGCAGTGAAAATTGAGCTCGAGCAGCTCATCATCTCTATCCTAGATGACCCCAGTGTGAGTAGAGTCATGAAAGAAGCAGGTTTCTCCAGCGCTCAAGTGAAGAGCAACGTCGAGCAAGCTGTTTCCTCCTCGATCATTTGCTCAAAAAACCAGACAGTGACTAAGGACAACTCAAAGGGTAGTAATAACAACAATCCGACACTCATTTCTCATCAGTCTCCTTTGAGTTCCTTCGATGAAACCGGATTAGTATTGGGGAACACTAATGCATCGGATCCAGTTAGAGATGAGGATGTCGCGTATGTATTGGAAAACATGGCGAACAAGAGGAGGAAAAGCATAGTTGTCGTTGGAGAGTGTCTTGCTAGTGTTGAGGGAGTGGTTAGAGCAGTAATGGACAAGTTAAACAAGGGACAAGATGATGTTCCTCAAACAATAAGAAGCTTAACGATTCTCAACCTTTCGATAAGCTCCTTTGAGAACTTGCATAGGGAAGAGGTAGATGGGAGAGTCGAAGATCTCAAGAAGCTTGTGAAGAGTTACATGAGCAATGATGATGGTGGGGTGGTTCTATATTTGGGAGATCTCAAGTGGACTGCTGAGTATAGAGCTAGGAAATTTAAGGGACATCAATTAGAGAGGAACAACAATTACTATTGTGCTATTGAACATGTGGTTGGGGAGATAGCAAAAATGGTGTCAGGAGTTGGTGGAAATGGAAGGCTTTGGCTCATGGGATTTGCCACATTCCAAAGCTATATGAAGTGTAAAACCGGCTATCCATCCATAGAGACTCTGTGGTGCCTCCATCCTCTCACAATTCCAGCAGGCAGTTTGAGCTTGAGTCTCATCACTGACAGGTAATTAAAGAACAAACTATTGTCTACTCTCTTTTATTTCGATTTGGTTTTCTTGAACTTCAAAACTTCACTTTTTCTCGGAACTTCTTAGTTCTCTCACTCCAGTCTATCAAGTAAAGTATGGTGGGGGAGTGAGAATTAGGCACAACTGCTTTATCTTTCTTTAAAGTGATAACATGTTCTTTGTGTTTGGAAATGAGGAGTGGGGACTTTACTTAGTAGCTTTTCAATTTCTGTTCACTTATCAAAGTTGAAAACATCGATTACTGGTAAACATCTCTTCAATTTTTAATGCAGCACACACTAGCACATTGTGTATACTTCGAAGAATATCTAGGTCTCACCAAATCCATTTTATAACTCCTGCCGTATATTGGTGTCATTTTATATTAGGTTTGGAGATCTAGTCTGATTTTGACACTTCTTTTACGTTTTTCCTTTTGAATACCAACTTTATGCTAAAATAGAACTTAGTGGTTAAGATGCTAAAATAGAACTTAGTGGTTAAGTTAGTTCCAATTATATTATTACGTGGTGGATCAAAACTCAACCTCAAATTTATCTGCATAGAAGAATAAAGTATAGACTCGGTGAAGTGAAAAAAGAGAAGAACATATGTTCATTTTGACGTGCTTTTTACGCTAGGGCCATAGGCCAAGATTATTCTACAAAAAGATTCAACTCGACTATTTCTTCATCATTCTCAGTGGACCAGAGATAGATTGCCTGAGCAAAAAAGCTGAAAATAGGGGGCCAGCTAGCCCTTTCGAGATTATCGAATCACGATCGTTGAACCCTTCATCCCTTCCGCCATGGCTTCAAAATTGCAAGGACGAGTATAGAAGACATTGCAATAACAACGATGAGGTCATAATCATCTTCACTTCTTCATTATATTCATCATCATCATCGTCATCATCATCACCATGTATAGTTCTCAACCATTCTCTTATCTAATGCTTATTGATCATCAGGAGTACGCATGCCAAAAAAGGAACAACTTCGGGAAAAACCCCATGTTCTCTTCTCTGCCTACATCTCCCTCCGCTTCAAGCTATTCCCACGAATACCAAAGCCCTAATTTTCACCATTTCGTTTATCATGAGTGGCCACCCACGAAACTACATTCCTGGCGAGACCACAAGTTTTGGAATCCACCATCAGAATCGGTCAATTTTGTCATTGAGCTTTCCTCGCGCTCCAACTCAGCATCTTCAAGTGAAATCATGGAGGTAGAGTACGTGCCGAGGTTCAAGGAACTCAACTCCGAGAACCTTAAAAACCTCTGCACCGAGTTGGAGAAGAAAGTCCCATGGCAAAAGGCCATAATCCCTGAAATTGCAACCACAATCTTGCGTTGCCGGTCAGGCATGTCGAGAAGAAAATTAGGGTCTAAGTGCCAAAATGGTGCGTCTAAGCAAGACACTTGGTTTCTCTTCCAAGGCGCGGACGCCGAAGCCAAAGAGAAGGTGGCGAGAGAGCTGGCTCGGCTCGTCTTTAGCTCGTACGCCAGCTTCTCATCCATTACTCTAAGTAGCTTCTCATCATCTACCAGAGCACTTTCCCCAGAAAACAACGGAAACAAAAGACCGAGGGACGAGCAAAGCTCTAGTTACATCGAGAGATTCGCCGAAGAACTGTCGAAGAACCCACACCGGGTGTTCTTTGTCGAAGATGCTGAAGAAGCTGACTATATTGCTCAAATGGGTTTCAAGAGAGCAATGCAAAGAGGAAGGACAAGCAGCTCGGCCGGCGACGAGGTTGAGCTGAGCGACGCCATCGTTATCTTGAGCTGTGAGCGCTGTAGCTCTTCTTCTCCTACTAATATCATGCTGAAATCTTCGCACGAGACAAGCTCTTGCTTGTCGCTTGACTTGAACACGTTGGTCGAAGAAGACAATGCGGAAGATGACGATGGTGATCAGTCAACCGATGATGTAGGACTTTTGGAATGGGTTGACGGGTGGGTTGCTTTCAACGTTCAGCAACCGTAGGAGAATCTTTTTCATGAAATTTTTTGTTCTTATATTTGGGGTATACATTTCAAAGGTGAAGCGATTGACTCTTGACTGACCTACGAAGCATTTGTAGGAGAAGACGAGGCTAGACGAGCTAGCTACAGTAAATTTGGGTGCCCGTCATTGTAAATTCCAAGTTAGATTCTATATTAAAGACAGGCTGATGGTTGGTTGAAGGCTTTCCTTGAGTTTCATCTTCGTTTTCTGTGTTTCGTCTTGTGGTCGGATTGAGCGGCAGTTTAATTACTAAATCTTCATTTAGATAAATGATCTGAAAAGATTATGAAAGCTAATTACCCAATTCATCATATTGGTCCCACTTTCTCAAAATCCAATGCAATGTCGCCATCACTTGGTAAAAAGAAGCCATTATGATCACAAGCAAGATTTTATGCAGTAAGAGAACATAATATGTCTTGCGTTCCAAAAAAAAAAATACAGGTCAACATAATTAATTACGTGATACAAATTAACTTCTTTCCTTGGAATTACTCACTTAACAATGTTACGATTTAATGACTAGCTTGTAAATAGGGAGAAATATCCATGGTTGTGATGGATCAATTCTATACATGCGACAAAATATTGATTTGATCTATATATTAAGATGTCTGACAGGATAGGAGAGAAAATGAAGATGCGATGATTAAGTTCTTAGTTCAAAATGTGAAATATGCACGTTCGTTTTCACTAGACCTCATAAGATCCTTGAACTATCCATTGCAAGGAAATTACATGTGATTGAAAACTACCAACCACTGTTCTGTTGGGAAAAAAAAACACCCATTTTGTCTATTCTCTAATTATACTTCCAATTTTATAATGCTTAGCTCCAAATACATCAAATGATTGATCGTGCGAGGTTTAGAGCTCTCAAATGATCTAATTTATTTATGATTAAGTTCATCTTTCTAGTAAAATAACTGCACATAGTTTGAAGATAAGTAGAGGGTCACGGTTAATTTTAAAGAAAGAACTTCCAAACTAAGAATGTTTAGCTCGAAACCAGTCAAGTGTTTGATCTTGTAGGGCTTAGAGATCTCATATCATTATGATCATTCTAATAATAAAGAATTTTATATTATCTGGAGTGGAGGTTAAGGGCCACAACTTGTTTAGAGGAAAAAATTTCCTGAAATCCTCGAATTTTCTATGGCAAGGATTGAAAACTACCAATTACTGGTCTCAAAACATTCCCCTTTTTGGGGAAAAAATACATCCTTTTTGCCATTCTCTTATTATTTTTATAAACGGCTTTTATTTGCAAATTTTTATACAGGGAAAAGTTCATAATCAAAGGCCATTATTCCCCAATAGTTCTTGAAACAAAAGCACGTTTAATCAGCAGATATTGCTTATAGTTCAAATATTTCTTCATCAATCCCCATGAACATTTTGCATTTTCTCATGATTGAAGCTATCATGGTGGGAGCATCCACCAGCTCATTCCAATGAGCTACCTAAATACACGGCTTTTGTAAACATTCATTCATTTTTTCGTACACATCATCGATCGGTCTTCTTTACATAATAATAATAATACAAACAAATCTGCTTGGAAAGCCACAACACAAACGGAAAAAGAGAGGAGAAAAAGAGGGAAAAAGGAAGCGATGGGGCTTAGAAATTTAAAAACGTACTCAAGAAGAATATCGATAATGCAGAAAAGAAAGACGAGGGTATGATTCATTACGTAAGAGTTGTGCAAAGGAGGAGCAACTTTTCTTGCTTTAGAAGAGAAAAAGAGAAATCTTGCCCTAAGAGATTTTAAAAGAGAGAGAGCACTACTTTTTAGGTTTTGCTGAGAGTTTTAGGCAAAAGAATAACTTTTGCTCACTTTGATTTTCCGAAAACCGACATTCTCATCTTTAGAAAGCATCAGAAAGTTGGGGCATAACTAGGTTAAACAAAGCAAAAGCTCGAAAAGGGGGATTAGCCCAGAAAAACACACACAGATAAGCATCTCTTCTTTTAATTAAAGATTAAAGGTTGGTTCACTTTGGAATCAAACAAAGATCATTATCTTCACACAGCTTTAAATCGAAACACTCAAAGCATAAGTAGAGCATTTGTCGGTTGCGACTCCTCCACAGCACGAGAATCATTCGAATTCAAAATATTTTCCTTCGGAGTATCTTATGTATGAATTAAGGTGCATTTTTTGTGGGTTGGCTCCTTAGCTCCTCCCACATAGGAATATAAATGCTTAGTTATCGCCCTTTTCCTTTTCGTTTTTCTAGTTGATGGACGGTCTACATGTTAGCTTTCCACCGCCGAGCTTAGCTGATTGCCCAAATTTGTACTTAAAAGTTTGTGTTTTTAGATAAAAAAAAAAATTTGTAATGATGAAAAGGCTAACGGGTACAAAGCATAAATTGAATTCGAATACTTGTACGTTTAAGGAGATATATTAATTAACTAAGACGTATGAAACTTACCAAAATCATATTTGTATACGTCTTGTCAATCATTCACATCAATTTATTCGCTTCAAATTTCAGTTTGAAAGCTCCCTTTTGCCTTAAAAATTGAAATATCCCATATTCTCGTAGAATGTATAAATTACCCTCCTCCCATTTTGGCCCATATTCAACTTTATTTCTTTATTTTCGAAACTACCACTTCTCATAGTAAGTTAAAGGGTGAGAAAAGACGATTATAAGAGCTATACGATATCACAAGAATTACATACCTGCTAAGAGATGTTTAAGCCAAAGTTACTTAGTCCACCCATAAGTATACAAGCTCATCATCGAGCTGCTTCAGCGACGTGCCAAAAGTCAAGAAGCTTATAACAATCCGGTTCAACAAAGATGTGTAGCATAGGGGTGAGAGGGCCCGTATAAAGAATGACTCATTGTGAGTTTCTAAGATGATGAAGGGGCAGAACTAAATTGCATACCAGACAAGAGAAGCGTTCATGGATTATATATGTAAAATTAGAATTAATTCATAAGATGCACTTTTTGACATAACAACATTGCCTTTGGAGCTCTGATATTAAGTGTGCTCAAGTAAGAGCACTATAAGGATGGATAACATTCTGGAAAAGTATTTACTTATATGTTAAATGACAATATTCTAAAACGCGGTATGAGATGGATTCAAGTGAATAATACCATGAGCGAGTTAACTAAGCGATGTCATAATATGGTACCAAAGCAGGATCCCCCCTCCAATAAGTATATGATTTGAGGACGAATCATGTAGAAGCTGATAGGCCTATAACAACCTAGTTTGACAATGGTGGAGAGAGACCACTGGGTCGAGAGAGGACTAGAATGAACTGGACCACACATCAAATAGGAGGAGTGTTGCTGGGCAATACGGGCCAACACTAACGAGAACGTCAGTTCTTTAAGTGAGAAAACTTTTAATATCTTAAGTCCCACATCGAATGGGAGAGGTTCTGTAAAGTAATTCTTAAGTTAACTTACACCCAAAAATAGTCACCACTTGCCCAAATGCCAAAAGAAAAAAAGTTACCATTTAAATTGCATCCTAGGACAAATTTATATGAGTAAAAGAACTTATTTTCTTTCGAAAACCTGAACATCAAATTCCAACCCTTGTTTCATATCATCCACAAACTCGAAACTCTCTTCCCACGTCACTTCGGCCGCCATCAGTGGCCGCCCCACCACCCCTGGCCGCTGTCTCCTCCGTCACCTTGGCCCCTCTGGTCAGTGCTAGGATTGGTCTGAGGTTTTTTTTTATGGGTTTGGATAAGGAGGGCTTTTTTAAGGAGGAAATGACGATGGTGGTTTTATTGTGGGCAATTCTTGGCTGATCTATAGATGATGCTATGATTAATAATTGAAATAATAAACACAATCAATCGCATTGCGTGAATTATATAAAAACCAAGTACTTTTCATGATATCCACTGCAGGCTCTTTAACTTCTTGATATGCAACACAATGAATCTAAGGTCTCATAAGCTCAGTTCCTATTTTTCCAGCTTAAAAACACTTTACAATTTTCCTCTAAAATTTGAGGATGAAATAAAAGAAAAAAAAGAGTTAGAAATTATGAAAAAAAAAAAAACAGATCCATATGACACTAGATGTCAATATTTGCATATTTTATAAGGTTTTAGATTATTCAAAGTGACTATTAGAAAGCTACAGAAATGGAAAAAGTAAAACACCATTACTTGTATTGAGAAATCACTTGTATGTATCAGATCCAGCATCTTGAATCGCGAACTTCATTCTGGTTCATTCGAAGAAGCAATGCAAGCCAGAGCCACCATAAGAATGCTAAATGAAGTTCATACTAAGGGAAGACAGTCTTGACAATATTCTCAAACTTCCCAAGTTCCTCCATCAAGCCCATCTTTCTCTACTTCCTTTCCCTCAGATTGGGACAACCGTTCGTGCTTTAACTCAGTATGCAGTTCATTGCTCATAAGGAAACCAACCAACAGACAAAGTTTCCACAGCCGACAGGCGCAGACTTTGGTATGAATTCGAAAAACCAATGAGTATGCAATTCGAATAGGAAGTCTTGACATTATTAGCATGTCGATCCAATAACAGAAATAAATACATTACAATGTGATCCGCAATGTCTCTGCTCTTAGTCACCACAAAGCAATGCTCTAAGGAAAAAAAGGAAGAATGAGGAATCATCCGTGACTTCCTTTGGCCGGACACAAACAATATATTACAGGGTGCATTGTTTGTGACGAGGATTACACTATACTATACAGCAAAACTGGTACCAAATTGACACTTGAAAACCCAGAACAGGAGAGGGGCAAGAAAGAGACAGAACGAGAGGGAAAAGAGAAAACTAAGAATTTAGTTAGCGAGCTAATGTACAAGGTTACAACAATTTAGCAACCTAGCATCAGTTACCCTGAGCGTCTACTTAATCTACAAGAGCATTGTCCCGGAGCATCAGAGCAAGTTGCCGTTCGACGAATGATCTCTGTCTTCTTGTTTCCTCAAGTATCATCAACTGAGCTGCCGTACAAGCCTCTGCATTGGGAAAACCCAGTGTCCACCTCCCATCCGTGGCATTATTAGACCTCTTTGAATGGTGGCTTTTCGTCTTGCTTGAATCAAATCGGGGATCAAACTCTCTTACCTGAAGGTGCAACCACGTAGGATGTTCCTTGTCTATCTTCGGCTGTTAGAAAGGAAAGAAAAGTCATCTTAGCTGT